AAATTGCAATTGTGTTCATATAATACACTGAAAGAGGCTCATATAACACGGTAAAAGAATGAGACAGATTGTCACAGCTGACTTGTCTCTCGACAGGATTGGTCAAATCTGGACCAATAGTGGACATTGCACAAACCATTGAGTTTAAACGAGCAGCAGACCTACTAAAAAACATTTATTATTTAATGGCCATAAAAATTATATTTATATTAACCTGTCCTGCGTTGTTTCCGAAAATATTTGTGTTGACATCATTGATCTGTGTGGTCGATCCTGAATATTTTCATGTCTGCATCGGAACGTTTTTGATACTAGATGTCGCTATGCATCACAATTTTTATATTAAAATGAACTTTTAAAATATAATTTTTTTTTGTTTTTATATTTTTCAATATATTTATTTTCTTTATGCAACATAAAAAATATAATTTTTAATGACACAGTAAACACAATTATTATTTTTAAAAAAATTGTTAGGCTTAACATTGATGAAAATTCAACATCACAGGCAACAGAAAAAAATTTCAACATTGACTAGGTTAATGATGTCTCCAAAGTTAAGTTATTTTTCTGCAAAAAATTCGCTGATCAGGAAACACGCCGCCGTTCGATGAGCCGCTATGTGACGAAAACAAGCTTAATTAATTAAGCAATGGCGTCTTCAAATGGTGGGCAGTAAGTAATCCTACAATTTTTTTGTTTATAGTATAGTTTATATGGATTATTCCCAAAAAATTATACGTGATTTGGAAATGTTGAGTCAAATTAGTTCAGAATCGATTAATTTTATGGAAGAAAACCTTTCAAACAGTCATAGCCGCTAAACTGCACACATGCCGGGCTGTGATTGGCTCATGTATTTAAGAGACTCGTACAACATAGAATTCATATAACACAGAACGTATTTACTGTGTTATATGGGGGTCTACTGTATGAGTACTGTTCTGGTATTTATGAATTAGGTCTTCAACAATCTTTGCTGTGGAATATGGATACCACTCAATCTTTACACAGTCAAGCTTGCACTAGCAATCTAATATTGCAATGGGTGCAAACCCATTGCAATCTAATAAGCTGTTAATATGTAGTAGTATGGGGTTGTATGATGTTTTAGGAATAAAGATGGAATTATAAGCAGGGTTCCTATGTATTGTAGTGTTGATCTGATCATCATTGAAGGAGAGATGTTCAAAAAGTAGGCTTGCTTGTAGCTTTCCTGTTTTAGTCTTTTCTTGAACCCTAATTAGTTATTATCGATTTCATTTAAGAATCTTGTCAGGTCAAGATTTTTAAAATCATATGATGAAGATGTCATTTATACATTATCTACTATATCTATGTATCTACTATAGACACAGTGCTGAGAGTAGGCCACAAAGAAAAGACAATGACACTGTGATGGTTAAAACTGACAAGTCTGACTGTAACTAATTATTACAGAAGAACATTTCTTCTACAAAATGCAACAGAACACAAAGTGGCTTTCTAAACCACCTACATAACTGTATAATATGATTCTTCAACACTAGTCTGGTCTGATCACTTATTTTATAATTACATCTACAATAAATTACTAATGGAAATAAAACAAAAGAAAGAAGGGAAAAAATTAAATATTTGAGACAATACTTTCTAAAGTACATATCTATCATGTTTTCAAAGGCTACTTTGGAAGTAATGTTATATGCTACTATGAATTGTAGCAATTCTTTTAGAGTATTATGTCAGTGCAAGTTATATGCTACCATAGGTTATCCACAGGAAATAAGAAATTAGATGGTTAAGCTATCAACTTTAGTCCCGTAGAGCCTAAAAAAAATCTCTTTCATTTAGATATTTGATAATTACTGTAGTTCTTTCGGCTCCACTAAAAATTTTCTACTATTCACATTTTTCACCAAATGCTTGCTTTCTGGTGTTTAAAAACAAAACTATTTTATTTGGATTGTTTGAATTATTCTTGTGTATTATCAGCAGTAAAGATGAATAGCAATAGGAAAAGCAAAGTTTTCTGTTGCATTCCAAATTGCAGTTCCAAAGCCAAACAGGAGCTTGATATATGCTTTCATCTATTCCCACGTGGAAGAAAAAGATGATTATTTGAAAATCAGAATTCGGAGAACTCATAAGTGTAATGGACAGAGTGGATTCAACTGTTAAGAATTAGCAAAAAAGCTTCCCAATTGTCCAGCTTTACATGAACAAGCTATGCTGACAATTTTAAAGGTCTTTTCCTTAAAATTTAAAGTGCCAGTAATTTTGTGTGGGACAGTGCTGGATTTAGGCATTTCAAGGCCCTAAGCTGAGACTCCTTAACAACTGTTTACAATTTTAGAAGTCAATCATAAAAGAAAAATTAACATAAACATATTAATTAAATATTTTCTCTCTCTCTCTCTTTCCAACTAATGGTTAATGGACAAACATGGATGTGTGCAGTCTTACAGCTTCTCTTTTCACTTATCTAGCTGTTTTATTTGTTGGTAAGGCCTTTTCCATAATAACTTGTCGAGATATTCCACTTTGGGTCTTCCACGTCCCCTTTTGCCCTCTATCTTTCCTTCCAATAAAACATTAATCCATTCAGAGTGTTGAATGGATTAATGTTGGCTAATCATGTCATTTCTCCTTTTCTCTATCGTTCTAAAAATCTGTCTCTTCTCTATTGACTCTTCCAAAACATTCTCATTCCTCTTTCTGTCCATGACACTCGCATCATTTTTTGCCAGCACCCATCTCAAAGGCCCCACAGTTTTCTTTCCGCCACTGTTCAGAATGTCCATGTCTCCGAACTGTATAATGCTATGCTCCAGATGAAACTCTTAATGAATTGATTCCTAACATTCCTAACAATTAAATACTATACAAAATAAAAAGTAAAGTATATTTAGTTGGTTTCCAAAAAAAATTTTGAGACAAAATTTGACTTCAATTTTGGTTTTTGTAGAAATTTTTGAGGCGTCTTGGAACTCGAGGCTCTAAACAACAGCTTATATAGCTTACTTCTAAGTTCGGCCCTGGTGGAGCTGATGTTTTTTTTAACACAGAGTAAAAATATGTATAGAACAATCTCACTCATTTGTTTTGGTAATATGACATAAAATGATGTGTCCTGCTAGAAATAATTGTTGTAAAACATTTCTCGATAAACAGCTATAAGCAGCATATATCATTATATCAGACAGTGATATATAATTAATTTTATGTTGACTAGTTACAAGCAACCCAGATAAAGTAAAGTAGTCATTTTGTAAAAATGCAGCACCCTATATTATTTCATGAAATAATAATATCAGCCAATTAATTAAACAAATGAATGAAATTATTCAATCTTACTATTTGCTAAAAAAATTAGTCATCAAAACTTCTCATTATTTGTATACCAAACAGAATTTTTTAAGATCATTTTACTTTTTAATACATATATAAATGATATGCTAAAATATGTAAATAGCAAATAATTCTGTAATTTAGGATAACGCATTGTCATGAAAGATTGTTTAAAATATTTTGACAGAATCTAAGCATATTATATTAATTTCATCCAAATAAAAACACATCCAGTCTTAAATAAATATATGAACAATATACTCACAATTGATATTTGTACTTTAATCAAAAATATTGCAAAATCATATATTATTCTCTTTAAAAGTGAAATAAACTGTCAAGTTTAGACTTAGACTACATTGATTTTAAATCAGGACAGTAATTGATACAATTGAATATTTATGGTTTATATTTTATTAAGCTACATTGCCATTTATTATTTATTTACTTTCACTAAGCAGGAACTGTCATTTAAATATTTGAATTTTCCAATAATTTTGTAATGTTTATTTGCTTTGTTTTTCCAGATACATTGCTGTGAAAAATTTTTTAATATTTTATTATTTTTGTTGGAATACATAGAATATATCCATACATGTAGACAAAAAAATATTTTATGAAATGGAATTAAAAATTCTATTATTATGAAATATATTTTTAAAAAAATGCTGTACGAAATTTTAAAAAAATTTCATACAATAAATTCTCGTTTTACGACTGCATCATTTACCCCGTTTCAATTCCCCGTTTTACGATTGATATAAATTTCTTATTATGACTATATAAAATGCCGTATTTTTGTTAACCGTTTTTATGTGGTATTAGAGATAAAACTATTTCAAAGTACTGTACATAACTTCGATTTACGACTCTAAGTGTTACNATATATTTTAACATTGAAAATACCATTTTAAATAATATAAATCTCAAATTTTTTCTTTTTCGACTGAGAATACGAAAATATAGTTTAATCGATTTATTTATATTGATGAGACGGGCATACGGTAAGGCATTAACCTACTGCCATAAGCAATTCACATTGGAATCCAAATCAGAATTCTCATAAATTGTAAGAGTTTGGGTCGCGGCATAATTTTTTGACCTTTGCCGACGTCGGCCGACCCCACTGCGGATCCCAGTGCCCAGAATAGACGAAAGCCGAAAACCAGTCCAGCCATAGACCTCGTAACGTGCCGGAGGCACACAGATATGAAATAAACGTCATAACCTATATCATATCCACTATCAAAAGTACTACATTTTGACAAGCATTAACATAATTTATATAACACTAATTTATTCACAAACTAGATAAATAATTACTCATTTTTCAAGTAAAGTATATTGATAAATATAAAAATAACAAATTCATTTTACTGATGAAACAACTAAATTGAATATTTATAAAATACAATATTATGGCTATTTCATCTGAATCTGAAAAAATAAAATAAAATCTTTTCATATTGAATATTGTAAAAAGTAATTTAGAAAAGAATTACATTTAAGATTTCAGAGTAATTTAGTTAAATAGATCCATAAAGACAGAATTAAATAAACAGAATTTCAACAAGTAAACAAACACAGGGCTAAAGAAGCATTGATTTGTAATAAGATAACATTGTAGTTATTTATTTAAAGAATGGAATAATAGAAGTGGATATACTCACTGACAGTTATTCATAATTTCTTCTTGACTTCGTATCTGAACGGGAGCAAATTTCTCGACCTTCTCGTCATAATTACAAAACGATTTGGTTATTTTTTCATCGAATGTATTAACCAAATCTTCTAACGAAGTAGAGAAAGTCTCTCCGAAATTATCGACTAATGCAGCATTGTCATTCGTTTCCCTACTAAAATTTGCATCGTTGTTTGAATTCTCTACATCTTCCGTACAAGAACAATCACTAAATTCCGTCCATTCTTCGGTCTTCGCTAGTGGAGCCTCAACCTCCAAATCCGCCATTTTGTCTCCACGCATGACGTTTCAAACGTCACTTCGTACGTCACCTGATGGTGGAAAAACTCGTGACGACTGGTTTCGATTTCCTCCCCCAAATAAAATAATAACCAAAAAAGTTTTTCCTCAAATAAAACAATACAATCTATAATAATTTTTTTTAAAATATTTATTTCTATATCTCCACGCTAATTTTTAGTATAAAAATTAATTATTAAAAATTTAAATTAAAAAAGATCAATAAAAAAAAAG